TTTTTCAGCACGTGGAAGCCCAAGTAGTCCCAGCACTTGATGGAACGGGATCCCCATTTTTAACTGAATCCTTAAGAGTTACAGTGACTTATTGTCAGCTTGTTTTCAGGGCTTTGCCATAGAGGGAACAAACTATAAACGTAAGCATCTGTTAAGAGGTGTTAAGGCGAGCATAACATTCGCCATAGACTCACTGGCAACTTCTTTAGGTACACCTTATCAGTGCAAATATCTAATCAGCCAATCACATGTCAGCAACTCAGTGCATGCAGGCATGTGATGTGGTCAAAACGACCCACTGACGTTTAAACTGAGCATCAGAATGAGGAAGAAAGGTGATTTTGAATGTGGCTCAGCTGTTGTGTAGAGTTTATATGGAATGGTTTGAGAGTGGTTTGAAAAAGAGAAAATATCCAGTGAGCGTGTGGACATGTGTGGACATGAGACTGGCTAGATTGTTTTGCGCTGTATAGTAACTGTATAGTAACTCAAAATAACCACTCACTGCAACCAAACGATGCAGAAGTGCATCTCTGAATGCACAGCACACTGAACCTTAGAGCAGATGAGCTACAGCAGCACCCTCTCCTAACAGCTAAGAACACTAAACTGAGGCTACAATTCATACATGTTCACTAAAAATTGGACAATAACATACTGGAAAAAGATTTCCTGGTTTGAATCCCAAATCTCAACAGCGCAGTCACCTCAAAGCCACTGCTGTTGTGATTTGGCAGCAGACGGTAGCATCAGAATTTCTTGCAAACAGCATGAAAGCATGGATCCAGTCTGCATTGTGTCAACAGTTCAAACTGCTGGTGGTGTGGAGCATCCTCGGCCTCCGTATTGTTGCTGACATGTCCGTCTCTTTCTGTCCACATTGTCGTATTTTCTGATCTCAAACAGCTTTTGCAGTGACAAGTCTAATAGAGCACCTTTGGGATGTGGTGGAATGGGACGTTCCCATCATAGATGTGCATCCAACAAATCGTCAGCAACTTTGTGATGCCGTCATGTCAATGTGGACCAGAATTAGGACAGTTTGGAAGGAAAAACGGACACCAAATCAGAACTAGCATAGTGTAGCAAACAAAGTGGGCGAGTGTACATGCAGGTAGCAATCTGACTGAAAATAAGATCAATATAAGAAAATAACAAAGACAGGAGTGACTCCTAGATTATAAAATTAGATGTTAGCTGGATAAGAATTGTCTGCTTAATTGTATACTCTAAGAGAAGAGTGAAAAGTGCAACTTTAACCATTACAACAAATCTGCACAATTGCTGCTGTTGTCAGTTGGAGAGAATCAACAAGTCGTAAATAGTGAGACCTGCCAGTTTGGCTCAAAATTAACTCAGCGTAGATCAGGATTGACGGTGAGTTTGTGCCAAAGCTAAACTGAAAGTGGTGCAGCTGTTTGGTTTGAAGCTGTGCCCTGCAAAGACACATGTAGGAAAGATGTTTGGCTTTTTTGGTGGTGGGGGGATTAATCGACCAGCAGAGTGACTGATACTAGCTGGTGGTTGCAGATAAGAAGTCTGGCAGGTGACTTTGATGTGGCTGACAGCTTTCTGTTAGTAATGTGGAGATTGATTTTCGTTGCTTTCGGTAGCCCTGTTTAAACTCTTGATTTTAAACACTTTTTCACACGATGAGCGCATCGACTGCTCCCGTTTAACAACCAATTAATCATGTTGCTGTGACTAAAGGGAAATTTGTTTATGATATATAACGTCCTCGCTTGCCTTGCTGTTAGCTGCATTTAGTCTATAGTTAAACAGCCATTTTCACCGTATTTATCTTATGAAAAGGCAAATAATCACTGAGTGGATTTTCACTATAAAATAACGGGTGTTAATGAAGTTCTTCCAATAAATATGGTAAATTCATGAGAAATGATTTGGTTGTCTATTTGGGTATTTTCTTTTTGAGTCTTGCCTGCATGCTGTGGAATTTGATGATGATTCAAGACTCAGAGCCAAGTAGTTCCCTTGGGACCCCAGCGTTTATAGCAGTTGGGCCCAGTGGGCCAATTTGATGGAAAAGGACAAAGTATATGTATCCGTGTGTATGCATGTGACTGTGAATGTGTGTGTGTCTTTGTAAGCAGCTTTCTAAAGCCGCACTGCTTCAGATACGGCCTATCGAAGCGTGTCAGGTTCCCTTAGTCATCAGGGGCGGATAGCAACAGTCCTCAGTGCTGAAAAGGAAGGAAAGACTGGGTAGTGAAGGAGGACGTGGAAAAAGAATAAACAATCTGGAGTGGTAGAGAAAGAGCTATAAATGAGGAAGTTTTAGTAAAAACAACTGCGAAAATGCACCAGGACTCACCTAAACAGGGCCACATTTCCCCCAGTGTGATGCTTGGCTATTAGTCTGATTTTAGCACTCTTAGATGGGAATGAATTGCATTCGAACCGAGGATGTCAGTAGGGGCCGAGCCTCCATCCATTCAGACATTCAGGGACTCCATTACACCCTGATGGGCAGGGATGGAAAACCAATCGTGGGTGTATGGGTGCAAGGGGGAAATGCAATGTATTGGTGCTGGGAAACACACAGACAGGCAATCTGGCATGATGAAGAGGCTCCCTTCCCTGCTCCTCCTTTCGGACCCAGCACGTCCTCCTGCGTCCCCTTCATGCCCCACTGCGCTCTACTGCAGTGCCTTGCCAGCTGACCAACCCGACACCTACCACACTCATTCGCACTTTCCCGCTTTCCCTATTTCCTCCCAGGTCTCACTGTGAGCCCCGACAGCATGTATCCATTCACATTATCACATTGGGAACTGAAGCAGAGATGGATTTCATCGGAGGGAAATAGATGGGAGTGGTGTTTTTGAATAGAGGGAGAATGTAATTTATGATTTTTCTGAAGTTCAGCAGATTTGTTGGTAGCCCCGGTTCAGATTTGTTGCTGAACTCAGGGAACCTCGATGGCTCCAAGGTTAGCTGCGGTATACTTAACCTCCCTTCTGACAGCAGGGATGTGCTGCTGTTAGAACGGTGTTAGATAGACCTGTTAGTGTCAGGATGATAAATTCATTAGGAGTGGCTAAGGAATACAGCTATTTATACAGCTACAGCAAATCATTGCTATAAAAGCCTTGGACTCAATCTCATTGAGAAGTGTGAATCACAGTGAGTCTGGAATTGAAGAATTAGATATTTATTGATTTTTAATGATGCTTGGCTGGCTTTCTTGTACTCGTACCTTTAGTCCACTTGCTTTTTTGGAGGACTGGTATAATAAAGCATGCACTTTAATGTCAAGATGCAATACTCAATGTAGTAATTTAACTCTATTAGGTATTATTGAATGCGTATGGCCATTTTTAAAAGCACACATTGTGTTTTTAAGTTTTTAGAATGATATATTTATTGATTTTTGCTGTTTGCTCTATATTTATACAGTGTTTGTGGCTGCTTGTGATAACTGTTATTCTACAGTTCCTAAAATGTATTGCTAAGTAGAGTATTTCTAAGTGGTCAGGGCAATCATTTAACCTCTGCTAAAGATTTCGTGTTCAGTCAGAACAGCTACAGTCAAAAAAAAATCCACCTGCAGCCAACTCCTGCAGTAACCTGAGACCTCCCCTTCACTCCATATGTATAAATGGAAGCGGAGAGAGCAGCAGCAGCAAGACCCCAACAGAGAGCAATGCAGTCGTGATATTTATTAGGTCTTCCACAGCATGAAAGAAGGAGCTGGGGTGGAAGTGGGCTGCAAAGCAGTTTGCACAGCAGCCAGCAGCCGTGGGAAGGTTAAAGCAGCTTAAACAGCATGCCCAATATGAGATTTGTCGTTTGGATATGTAGAAGGCCATCAGCAGAGCCATCTGTTGATGTGGGCTGGCAGTAAGATCACTAATGCTTTGAATTTGATATGTTTAAAGCAGGTAAGAAACAAGTGGGGTGATGCATTAGAGAACTGACAGAGCACCAGGGATGATACCATGGTTTTGTTGATGTTATTGGGGCTCATGTTCCATAATCCAACTAGAAAGGTGCTCTGAGAGTTCTGACCTCTGTCAAGACCGATAGTCTACTCTTCAGTGATGTGAAAACTACATAAATATCTGGATTTTTTTTCCGATCAGTTCAGATCTGCACCAAAATTTCATGGGATTATCCTTTGGCCATGCTTCACTTGGCTCTGTATTCCTGCTGGAAGACAGCAACAAATGACAAAAAAACCAAAAAACTTTTACAGAGCTTCTGCCTTCTCGGTAAACGTAATTATTTTTTTCATTCAAAATTTATGGTCTGTGGTCTACAACTTCTTCACAAATTAAAGTTCAGAGTCTGTACTTTAATCTCCTTGTCAATGTTGTCTTTTGCCACCCTCGCCTGTGAAAGCTGTGGCCACATAGTGCCAGTTCTCATACCGCAGAAAATCTTTTCATTACTGAAGATCGGGTAACAAAGAAAAAAAATAAATAACTGCTAAAATATATATTATATATTCATTTGTGTGCATGCGTGTGCTTTATGGGTGTTTTACTTAAATGTGCGCAGCTGAGCGGCCCCACTGTGAGCCAGGTAAACAAATGTTTCATAACTGGTGATGAGGCGGTGCCACGCTGAAGATTTCTCTAACGAGGGCTTGTTTGCGTGGGTGGAACAAAAACACGTTTTTAGATCCAGACTAGTACATTACACGAGCCTCAGTGCCTCACTCACTGAAAAATATGTGTTTTCTGAATATGCCCATTACCACAGACCCTCGGGCTATCCTTGCCTGTAGTTCATCATAACAGATTTAACAGATTTAATCTGAGCTATTCTTTCCTTTGACTGTCTGCTGGCAACTTGCTATTTTATCCCGCAGTTCGCATCCACATTCTCTTGATTTTAATCTCTTTTTTTTTTCACGCTTCTCCTGTTTGTAGACGTCTGCTGCATTTTAAACATCACCTCAAAAGCAAAAACTCCTACATCTCAGTAGCAAATAATTAAAGTGGAACGCATAGTCTGACATCAGTGTCTCTGTGCAGGTGCCCTATGTCAAGGTGGCTCCAGAGGACATTTTGAAGGTTCATTTCCCCCGCTTCACCACTTTGGACCTGAGACCAACAAACACCGACATCAGCCTGGCCGTGGCCGGCCTTCTCACCTTCTTCAACAGCACCACCGCCTGCCTCATCTGTGCCCAGGCCGACTGTGAGTACAGCATTCGCACACTCGTGACCAAAGTTCCCTCTAATTTTTCACACACAAACTCCCTGAGCGGTCCCTTGGACCACTGTGAGCGACATCAGACGTGTGCACTGTGGTCACGCCAGCATCGAATCCATCCAATTTACATGGTTTATTAAAATAATCAAATTACAGCATTTACATTTATGTTAGACTACTTTTAATTAACTGCTTTAGCCCACTTACAATGAAAATGTAAAAAAAAATCTTGTTCATGACCTGTGTAGTATGTTAACACTATTGGAAGTAAAAATAACTTGAACTCCAATTTTGAAAACACAACTTTCTTTCTTTTTTTCTTTTTTTTTTATAAAGCTCTGATATGTATTATGATTATGAGTCTGTGGTCTGGGAGAGAGTCCTGTAACTCTCTGTCTGCAAAATACAGCATATAAAGACCAGTGCAGGGCAATTAATTATATACCGGTAGTTACTTCTTCTCAACACCTGTAACATTCAGCAGTCGCCTCATTGTTCTGACACACACAACAAAACTTGACTACACTACAAGCTAACTACACAAGATTTGCACTAAACGTCGCAAATCTCTCACATCTCGAAACACCGCCGTCACTCCTAAAACTTCCTCCCGTTTCTTAACAACTAAATGCCATGTTTTGATTGATCGACGTGGTACATTTTTCGACCAATGTGAAAGGGTGGCGGGTGTTTTGGTTTCATCTTTGCTCACAGGCGGAGAGCGCTTTCAAGCGTTTTCCTTATAAAACGCCGTTTTTACCGTTTCTTCCCGCAGTAAATATAAACAACGATAGTACTCAGGAAGAAAAACAAACACTGCATATATTTTGTATCACAACTCTGGTTTTACGTGGCCTATCAATACAATTTAAAAAGTGGTTTAAAGGCCACACTTTTTCCGTCTGTTCCGTCTGTCCTGCTCACATCTCCAGTGGCTGTACACGTTGTCATTAACGTGGCTTCACTCCTCATCAGTCACGCCGCTTTGCCAGCTAAAACACCGGCACATAAGGACGCTGTCATAGCCTGTCAACGACGTTGATTAGCTGCGTATATACGAATGTGAGTCGTGTGATTGGCTGGACTATGGGATAAGGTGGCATCGTTGTAATCCCATACTGGAGCAGCCAGTCACTTATTGACTAACACTGCAAAACAGAATTGTTAACGTATTTACTTTAATTTCAGTTCAGGTTAGGGTTTTTTTTTTTGTGCGCAACATGGATTTTTTCTGTGCAGAGACCGTGCCAGCAGTGCGCATTGTGCACGCGCGCAATTTAGAGGGAACATTGCTTGTGACAAAATATACAATCGCACATACCTGTGGGGAAGACTCGCAAACTGTCTCCCCTACATCTGCCATCAAAGTGCAAACATTTTTGTTTAACGTCTGCCACCCTTTAACACGTGTTAGCGTGCACAGGCATCTCGCACACGCGCCGACTGTGTTCTGGCAACAGATGCAGCTTTTATCAACATCTCACCCTGCAACACGTTTCCTTCTAAAGCAGCTGCTGCACTCCACAGCTACAACTCCCTCACAGCGGCACGCCCGACGCCTGCGTCCCAAAAATAAATTGCGTTTATTTCGTCTCCCTTTTCAAGATCATTGTCATTTATTAAATTAACTAAATAACGATTTAGCGCATTATGTTGTATGTGATGTATAAACTGTCTTCAGTCTCGCTGGGTTTTCTGTAAACTGTGTGTGCACTCTTAAAACACTTTGCGCAAAACAAAACATCTCGTTGAGAGAAACAAAAGGAAAGTAAGGGCAGAGGTTGCAGCTCTAACAACCAGTGATCTGACCGCCCCCTTTGTCAGTGAGACGTGTTAGGTTCTGAAGATACTTAACTGAATGACCTTAAAAACGATTGAAAATCTCTTTGAGAGAAGTTATTTTTGTAAATAGAGAGGAAGATTAGATCATGGCTTGTTCCCACCCTCTTCTAGTTCAGCATGCAGTAATTACAACTCCCAAGACAAAGGCACCGTGACCCCCTGAGTGGCACCAGCTAACCTTTTTTCTAATCAGCACAAGCCTTTGAAGACAGGAAATAGGCTCCAGATATCAACCATGTGTCAGACAGAGTAGAGATGGCAATGAGCCACAGTGAGCTGCCTACCCCGCCTATCTCAATTCTCAGTTCTGCTGGCTTTCAACTTCTCTCTTTGGTTGTCTTTGGCTCTATACTTTGGAGTCTCCTTTCATTCATAACCTCTAAGGTGAGTTTTTTCCCTCTTAGATGTGTGCTAGGCGTGTTACATCAAAACATGCTAGTTTTGTTTGGGGGGGCTTTCACTTTTTCATGCAAATTCGGGGACAATAAATGAATCAGAGAAAAAAAAAAGTTGTTTTTTTTTTGTTATTTTAAACAGTTAAACAATTCCCAAGATGAAAAATGGTATAAATTAATTAAACTTACTAAAAGACAATCCTGTGTTTCTATCTGTGGTTTACCTGCACCTACTTTGCCCATATAAATAAATATTAAGGGGTGCAATATGTAGTTTTCCTACATATTTCCTGTATCTGTGAGTTTTCCAGTTCAGGGATCAAATCCTGTTTCTGTGACATTTATTCCACAGAGAGTCGTATTAATGCCGCTCTGGTGCGGTGCGAACCATGATAACAAGTGAACCTTTTAGGCACTCTATCCCTCTAATATTGGTGGCCACCAATATTAGTTTATTTTAGTTTATTTAAATTTAAATTAGTTATGCAATTTAAATTAGTTTATTTTCCCCAAACCCGGGTTTGGGGAAAATAAACAAATTTTAACATTGCGCTTCTTATTCCCTTTGGCCGTGTGAGTGGGTGCGGGGTTCTTATTCTGTGTCAGTGAGCTAAGAGATGACTGCAAAGGAAATTAAATGAGAAGAAGGAGAATGAGGGGAGATGAGAGGTAGATAGAAGAGACCAAGGGGAGTCTGAAATGAGAGAGGAGGAGGAGAGCGGAGTATGCTTCTTGGATGATTTGAAAGAGTGTGGAGTGGGAAAGCGAGGAGGTAACCACACTGGAATTATACATTAGCAACAGGCAGGAGACGGTCCAGGACATGACGCGGCTGTGTTGATTGCACTCTCTCATGTGACCCTCATTCATTCAACAGAAAATGCAAGAAATGGCACTATGCCTGGATTTGTGTGTGTGTTGGTCGAGGATTGTGTTCAGCAGCACCATCAGCTGAAACTCATTCGAGTTTGGCTCCTACTGCACCAGCTCCACCCTTCTTTGTCAGCTTACACAGTCATTTGGTCGGTTGGCAGCCTGCTGTCAGTTACTCGTTCACATGTGCCAGCCTCATTAATCACCCAAGCCAGTGACAGCCTAATAGAGCGTGGCCAATCCATGAATATTTTCCAGTAATGGCTGAGGAGGCAGCACTGGAGGTGAAGCTGTGCCCAAAGGCATGGTGCACACCAGCACGAACATTAATCTAGCTAGCCCTCGCTAACAGTGGCAGTGGTGCTGTGAGACTGTAATACGCAAAGTGTTGTTGAGTCTTTAGACCTGCCAGGAGGCCCCACAGGTTGTTTATTTCTTGTGGTTTCGGCTTTAACAGGAAGAAATAACACATGAAAACTGCATGCACAGAATTCGCCGGTGTGCTGCACTGCTCTTTTATTCGTGCAGTGATTGGTTCAGCTGTCAGTAAGCTGAAAATGGAACATCAAATAAACTCAACGTATCTGTAGCTGCAGTGCAGGTACAGAAATTTTAGGTTCAGTCGTATAGTTGTCCACTAATGCTTGCAAAAGCCTATTTTCCTTCTTTGATAGACTCAGCTGGAAAGCAAGGTTAGGCCTTAGGCTTATTATTCTTTCTCTGCTAATAATTGTATGCCGATGCCATCTTATGAATTGCAATTTTCCATTTCTTTCAGGTTCCAGGGATGACTACTATCTCTCTCCATGTTTCACACGCAATGGCATTACTATTACTAACCTGTAATCAGCGTTAGTCGGGTGGAAGAGATATCTAAATGACCTGTCAACGGGAATGTGTATGAAGGTGTGAGAATGATGGGAACGCAGTAATGCAGAGGAGGGTCTTGGGGAGTAAAGGCTCTCTGATGACTTTGATCATAGTAATTATGTTGTGGCTACTTATGTTTCTGATGCAAAAGGCAGCAATGTCAGTAGACAGTGTAAAGGTGGTGGTGCAAGTTGTCATGGTTTCTTTTGTTGCACTTTGTAATTGAAAAATCTTCTCATTGAATAGATGAAGGCAGTAGGAGTGTCTTGGTGCTTTATGAAATAATGTTGACTCAGAATAATGAGTTTTTAGATTTGTGGAGAGTGAGTTTGTATCCACAGGTGTAATTGTGCAGAATTTATCTTTACTAAAGAAAAGTGCAAAGTTGGTCTGTCTGTCTAATTAAAAAATGGTAAAAGCCTTTTATGCAGATTTCTCACTCGTGGCTCTGTGATTGGTCTGTTTAAAGCAGTGGATGACAGAAGCTGTCTCACACTCCTTGTCCGACACTCCCACTTATCAAATCAGTGTTGTTTTTTTAACTGATTTTTTTTTTTTCCTTTTTGCTTGAGGCTTTACGCTATTTTTAGTCATCAAAATCTGTGCTAATGAACTGCAGCTTTGGAAGTTTTTAGACATTTTAACCTGTTAGCAGTCGGACGTACCGCCCACGGTACATTGGATGGTTTAGGGGACTAATTGTAAATTTGTAGGACTGCTAAGGGGTTAAATTAGGAGAGGAGATGTTTGTTAAAAACAAAAAACATTATAAATAGCTAAATCAAGTGATTAGGACTGTATGCTACGTAGTTCAGCTTCTGTACAATTACCCAACTGAGTCCATGCATGAATATCACAGGTAACTGTCCAGAGAGCTCAGAGGGAGTAAGCTGGAATCATGTTTTTCCTCCTGCACGCTCTACCTGGACACAGATTATCCAAAACCAAGATCTGTAAGGTTTTTGCCTAATACACCACCACAGTGGATTTTACATCAAATCAAGA